GTATCCCTGAAGGTCCAGTCCACGGAACAGCTCATCATTGCATCAGCCGGAGCCATCCTCGTAGTTAAAGAAGATTGCGAGTGTAGGAGACAGTTTTCATTATCAGGACTTGCTGTCACTGCTTTTGTTGATGGATTCACTTTCTGTACTGAAATGTGTTTGTGTTGTCCTTTTCCTCAGTTGCCCCCTAAATGCTTATGTTGATAAATCCATCTACTTGCGGCGGTGGGGGCGGGGGGCGGGGCGTTAGGCAGGGCAGGGTGAAGGGAAGGTGAGAACTTTTTTCTTTTTAAAAAATGCAGGTGAATCAGTCATTCTAGATTCAGAATTAGTCCTTCTTTTCAAGGACCACCAAGCACAGATGTATTTCCAACACTCAAACATGTGCAGAATTATCTGAGGAAACTCTTGGGGAATAAGTTTTTTTTAAATTTAAGTGCTAGCAGTGATACTGAGAAGCCCAACAAGAAGCGCCAGACAAAATGTCTCTCTTGGGATCTGTCCTACTTCTTCTGAACCTACTGTTGGGCCCATGAAATGCTGTGAGCTGCTCAGAATGAGAATGTAATGCAAACACTAGGTAGTGACAGTGTCGGCAGTTACTCGTGTTTTTTCCCAGCTGGAAACTGGAAGTGTCCGGGGTGAGGTCCAGCTGAGGTTCCCGACTGGGGAAGGGCTACCTGACTGGGCTGTAAACCACACCAAAATGTGAGCATGCCAGGCAGAGTGATAAGTGCATAACAGTAATGGTAGGAAATAACAGAGTGATGTCATGATGTAGTATACAGATAAACTATATTATAAAAACAACATGATTTCTCTCTAGTTTGATGTCTTTCTGTTTACCTTTGATGGAGTGTGCTCATGTTAGGCTTTTGGAACCTTAAAGTGAAATTAAGACTCAAGTATCTCCCGAATTATGCAGTAAACAGAAATTAGCCCACTGAGTTGAGAGAGACAGTGCAGGTACAAAAATTGTGTGACCATGAGAACATGATATGCCACACTTGGCTTCCTGATCTAATTGTCAAAGACCCACGTGACAGCCCCCTGTGGGTATGTCTCTCTCACCTTTGTGGGTCTGTCTGGAGATGGTGTTAAATAGTGAGGGGCACTCTGCAGCCAAGTAGAGCCGGTTTGAATTGTAGTACTACCACTGCCTGCCTCTGTACTTACTGTGTGTGACTCAAAGCCTCAGTTTTGTCATCTGTGGAAAGGGAATAGGTGTTTTACCTACATCATGTGATTTTTCAGATTACAGCTAGTAATGCTTGTACAACATGCAGTACCTGGCCAAGTGCTTACTAAATGTTGGTTATTATTCCAAGGTCATTAAAGGATATAAAGCTTCCTAACAGGAAAAGATTACATATACAGGACTCCCCAGAAAATCGTGTATATTTTATTGCCTTGGAAGGTCACATCTTGCAGGCATTTATAAATGTTACCCTTTTAGTGTATATTGTTATTTAAGGGAAATTGTCAGTAATTCCCAGAAGAAACCTGAGAGATGTGTGGCATAACTGCTTGTGACATTATGGGACAGTGGTCGCCAGGCTCAAGGTTGAGAGAAACAGCCTTTTTCCTCCTTGCTGGTTAGACTTTCAGCCTCTCAAATCAGGGGTGTCCAACCTTTTGGCATCTCTGGGCCACACGGGAAGAAGAAAAGTTGTCTTGGGCTACACGTTAAATACACAAACTCTAACAAAAACAGAAAAATCTCAGTGTTTTAAGTAAATATGATTTTGTGTTGGGCCACATTCATAGCCATCCTGGGCCATATGCAGCCTGCAGGCCATGGGTTGGACACCCCTGAATGTATTGCTTTCCCCAAAGCTCTTGGGGTTCAGTGTTTCTTTTCTCAGAGGTGAAAGGGGTGTTGGTTTTCAGAGGCCAGTGAAATGTGGGCCGAGGGCATCTGGCAGAAGGGGTCAGTTTTAGGGGGGTCCTCACTACTGTTGTGAACTGCAGAGTTCCTGGCACTTCTTTGCTTCCTCTCTCTGTGTGGTTTACCAGATGTCTGATAGTTTGACGACTTCATTTGTACATTACCCCTGTGAGTGTAAATACAAATAGGTTTTAAAAACACCTAACATATAAATAAAAACTCTCTCAGGATACCAGCAGATTCTCTTATTGCCTTTTCCTGAGCTAGTTCATTACCCTCCATAGGTAGGGAAAAAAAACACTGATTCCAAATCCACTGATTTTTCTATTATCTTCTTCTTTTTATTTTGGTGAAATTCAGGAAATTTTTGAAATTAAATCATTTCGGAAGTTGTGCATTCTCAAATGTCAGAGTAGAATTATCTGAATGCCTGCTTCGTTCCCTGTGTAGTTCCAATTTCCTGGAGCTAATTTCTTCCTTCTAATTACAAGCACTCCAAGAAGAACTAGCTTTTGCAGCTCAGCATGAGAGCAAGTAACTCTTATTTCTTCAGGCTGAGTTGAATGCAGAAGGCTTCCTGAATCTGCCTGAATACAACTGCTTAAGGTACAAAATAAATGTTCCCTGTTCTGTTACTATTGTTACATCTTTAGTGCCAAAGTTCCCAAGAGTCAAAACCTTGTACTTCATATTTCTACAGAATCCTGCCTTGATGCATAGGGTCACATTGGAAACTTGTTTCTCCTTCTGTTTTTATTTTTCCCCCTAAAGGGTGAGAATTAAAATATGGAAGTTTCAACTGAATGTTAAATGTTATTTTTAAGTCACTAGGTTGATTTAGACATGTTTATCAAATCCTAGTATACTTTTAGGTACCTTGCCATTTGTTCATGATGAAATAAAAACATTTTCACAGATCCTGCTTTAGCATGAGTGGCTGGAATGTTTTTCCAGACTGAGCTTTTGTTGTTGCTTTTTCCCCTTGTCCAATAACTGCACTGGGGAAGGAGAGACTGGCGTGGCGTCTCAGGCAGAGCTAGAGCAGTTTATGTGGAGACTAACATTCAGAATTGCCCCGGACTCATTTCCTAACTTTCCTCTGAGTAGTGAGAGTCTACTGAATTATTATGTGATTCCGAACTAGTCAGCAAAGGGCCAGATCATGCGATTTGTTTTAGAGGCAGAACTTCCCTGCTTGCTGGGATCCATCACACACCCTCCCTCCCTTTCCTCAGAGTTCTGTGCCTTATTAGGCTCTAAATTGGTTCCTAATGAGTGTTGTATTAAAATAAAACAAAAATGATTATGCTTGCATCGTTCTCATATTTTAAAAATTCATGTGGTTGGGTTTTAATTTCCTTATTATTAAATTCTTTTGTTAATGCAACCTTACAAAATAGTTTATATCCAATCTTGCCCCCTCTGAAAACTTTGAAAATGATAGTAATGACTCTGCTTTCACTTTTCATCTGAGGTCATAAAACAATAGGTATCAGAACTCTGTAGTACTTTTCTCTTCCTGTCTCTTTCATTTTCAAGCCACCAAGCAGGAGCTCTGGTTCATAATTTACCAAAATATTGTACCATCCACTACTTCCTGATAGTTTATTATGCACCAGGAACTAAATTGAGTACATGACATTCCTTTGATTCCATTGGTATGATGAAATACAATAGATATTAGCATCCACATCCTAAGTAGAGAAACTTTGGGAAGTCAGTTTCACATAGGCAGAAAATGAAGGAGCCCAAATTTGACCATTGGGCTCCCTTTTGTCAGGAGACCACCCACAAACACATGTATGTGGTGACTGTGATGGGGGAAATGGGGTATGAAGTGGAGCACTGAAAATTAGCTACAATTGAATTATTTTGGGGAATCACTTGGTGAATTAATATAATTGACCACTATGCTGTACACCTGAAACTAATATGAAATATTGAATGTCCAGGGTTCATGGAAAAATTAAATAAGTAAATGAATGAATGAGTGAGAGGAAAATTAGCTACAATTACAATACCAGGGTCTCTTGCTGCCCAAGAGATGCTCACGTCCACTTGTGTGTGTACAACGGGGTGCAGAGACCCCCACGTGCGGCACACCTCAAGGAAGGCAGTGAATCATTGTTTCCCCTCCCCCAGACATTCTGACCATCCTTTGCAAATATCCTTCTAAAATGAAGGTGGTGGACAAGAAACAAAGTAACACGTGGGTTGCATGATAACCGTCATAGTTCCTAGTTAAGTAAAAGATTGTCGTCACACCTCACATTCTAGACTAAATTGAATAGGTGTCCTGATTAGAATTTCATGCTTGCACTGAGTCAGATGCCTTCCTGCATCTCCATATTCTTTGAAAAAACAAGTCTGTGTCCATGTACTTGGATTTGTGTTGTGTGTGTGTAGATCTTAGCATTGCAATTCTCCAATGAAATCATCTTCTGTTTATGCTTTTAAGTGCTAGCAGCCACGAGAAATAGGTAGCCAGTAATTTATTACAGCTACTTACTGCAAACTCGGAATGCTGCCCTTGCTGTCTGTGCCTTGGAGGCCAGCTTTGGGCCCTGTACCATCTTCTCTTCTGTTAACAAACTGAAAATGGGGATTTGGTTGTAGCTGACAATTCTTCTGTACCCCACACATACGTGCAGAGTTTTAAACATCGCTAAGTTCTTTGTTAAATTACAAATCAATTGCCTGGCTATACATCTGAACGAGGAGTGTTCCAGAGGCCTTCAGTCTTGGCATTAGCTTATTGTAATTTTCCAATGATAATGCAAGCTTTTACACAATTGGCAGAAAAGGGCCACAACTGGGAGCCATTTTGTTGAGGAAACTGGAAATCCTCACCCTTTGAAATGCCGAATTACACCGACGAGTATCAGATTATTTGTTACACTGAAGGTTCAGTCTTCTGCCTCCCTCAGACGAATGTCACGTCCCCACACTGAGAGCAAGAGCGGCATTTGGCACTTGTTTCCCCCAACCCAAATCGCTGACCCTTCGTTTTTAGTACTTTGCCATTTTGCTTTCGCTTTTTAAATTTGCTTGTGACTCTGCTGCCCCCATCTTTTTTTTTTGGTACAATGATTCTTACCTTGTCTTTCCCCAGTCCGTTTCTGACCTGGAGAGACGTGCAGCATGTTATTGTCAGGACTTCCCGTGCAGGACATTTGAACGCTAATGACTGGAAAACCAATGCTGCTGGTTTTAAGGGTGAGAACTTCTTTCATATTCTGTCACAGGCAAAATATTTTTATTTTTCCCCCCATTTAAAATGCAGAGCAGGAACTAGAACCCCTCAAAAGAAACTTTAAATTTTGTGCTGATACACAAAGAGCTTGATCTTTTAGTGAATAAAAGGCAGATTCTTTTTTTAAAGAATAAATAGTACCTATAAGGCAGATGTCCTTGGCTTCCCACATCATATGTCAATTTCTTAAAAGATAACCAACGTCCAAGAATAGTTGATCTATGGGGCTCCTGATTAGTTTATTTGCTGTCATTGATTATCTGAGTGTTGTTTATAAGTGTATTTAAAAGTTCCTCACCTCCCATAGTTACTGGCCTCCACTTAGATTGTAATTGGTATATTCTGTTCACTGGAGCGTAACACTGGTAGTTGCTAGGCCATCCTTTCTGTACATTGTCTTTTGTTTTGCTTTGTTTCAACTTTCACAAACAGAAAACCGGGCATACTTCTAGGATATTATATAAACTAAAAATTCTTATGACGCTTTATAATGTGCAGTCTGTATGAAATTGTGCGTAATATATAATAAGTGCCATGCTCCCATGACTGATAGAGATCACAGTTTCCTTGACCTGTCTAACAGTAGCCTTCCTGTTTGTTGTCTTTCATAACGCATGCTGTAATAAAAGAAAATAAATAGATAAAGCAGATGTCCTAAAGGTTAGTATGTTTACTCGGGTTGCAGAGGACCTAAATTTTTATCCATGAATTAAGTTACAGTAAAGATTATTTTTTGTCGTATCTGCAGACTTAAATTTACGCCCAAATAATCTTGGTATCATTACATATCCCTATGCATGGAAACATATCATAGCATAGAAAATACCTACTTAAACATTGGGCTTCTGATCTTCAGATCATTGGTTACAAGCTGAATACCCTGGCAAGTCATTAAATTTGGGGGAGGGGGGCCCTAATTTTCCCAACTTAACCATCTTAGAAGGGGGACAGTATTATCTACATATGATATCTTACATACGATTTTAATATGTCCTTAGTGAATTATACCTGATGTATGCAAATATTCATGCTGGAAATATAAAATGTAATTTAAAACACTATTTGCAAATAGCTTATTATATATATCTCATGCTTAGATGAAACCTGTAAATATACCAGGTAACCGGCATCATATAAAATAGTTCTTTGAGTAATATCCTCACTGAAGACTGTCCTTCATTTTTGGAACAAGAATATCCCTTTGCTTTTGAGTGTTACCGAATACCTCTCCATGCCTGCACACTGTGTAATGCAGCAGCGTTCAGTGAGCCTTTAATTTAAGCAGTTGTGCTCATTGGGATCACATTTTCTGAAGCCCGCATCAGGACACTTGATCCCAAAATGGCAATTGTTATGTGTGGCCTCAGAAGTATTTGAAATTTCTATTATTCCAGGAGTTCAGGATGTAATGTGCCAAATGTACATTTCATTTTGATTAGCTTCCCTGTGTTCCCAGCTCCTACTATATTAATCAATGAGGGTGGAGGTTGGGGGCGGGGGAAGAAGAGACCAAAACGTAACCAAAACGTAACCATGCAGTTCAACACCGCAATGAACTTTGTAGCAGAAGGTTCGCAGACTATAAGTACATTGACCTCCACGAAGCTGAGGAATCAACTTTAGCCCAAATAAAAGTCTTAGTTTTTACTTATTCCTCTTTGGCAACTTAGAAAGAGCAAATGGTTCTAATAAAAAACGCAACTCTTTTGAAAACCTCTGTTGGTTTTGGAAAGGGGGAAACAGGATTTAGACTAAATCGCCAGATCCAAACCTGATTCTGAAGGGGGCCGTACACTCCTTCTGGCAAGGAGGAAAGAGCATTTTACTATTGCACGTGGCAATATTTAGTATAATATTTCACTCTTCTCTTAGATTGCTGCCAAGAGTAACAATTAAAGTTCACTTTTTCATAGATGAATTACCCTGAACGGTCTGAACTCCCAGTGGAATTGTTTTGTAATTTTGTTGATGGCAAGCCCCATATTTCATCCAAACATGATCATAATAAGAAGAATTTTTTTAAAGGAGTTATTTTCTTTCCTACTCTGAGCATTACCATTCCCTCCCTAGCGTCCCACAAATAAAAGTGATTAAGGCAGAGGCTAGCAGGAGAAGTGATGTGCTTTGAGGAAGGAGAGAATGCAGGTCACTAGGACTGGAGAAAGATGGGCTGACCTTTTATGAAATAAGAACTAAAAAAAAAACCAAAATCGCTAATTCTTGGAAGGGGTTCATGCAATGAGAGCTCAGGAAGAGCTCGTATTTTAAATTAGGTCAGCCGGCGTTTGCAGGCCTGCCTTAGCAGGAACACATGAACAAACATTTCTCCTTAGATGGAAGAAAACGGAAGTTGCCTCCAAACAGAAGCAGGTAGCCATGGGTGCTCTCCCCCTTCCCTTGCAGCTCAGTCCCAGCACTTGGTGGGGTGTGCTCACGAAAGGAATTTGCAAACACATGTGCTTCCAGGGGCTTGCTTTCTGTGCCCCAAAGTTGAGCACTTTAACTTGTTAGAAGAGTGTTTTATTTTTTTTTTTAATGAGAATCATCTCACAGATTGTTTGGCAGGTGCTCTTCTGCAGTGTGTCTGTCAGGATCAACATCAGAGTTTGCTTCTCTCAGGTAAAGCAGAAGTAGCTCAGAGTAGCAAGCAGTTTGGTTTGGGGTCTCGCCATCAATAGGTTTAAGAGTCATGCTTAACACTGATAACTTTAGAGAAGGTAATACCCTAAAGAATACCTTCTCACAAAACACTGCCAAGGCCATTTCACACAAAGTTCTTACATTTCTTCAAACATACCCATACATATTACATGCTAGGCAGAGAACATAGCAGGTGATCTAGACCGGCGTGGGCCTCCCCCCCCCCCAGGCATGCTTGCTCCACAGTTACCTGGAAAATGGAAGAGATTCCCTCCAGAAGCAGCTTCTGGCTTCCTGTTGACTGGCACGAATAGGTTCTCATTCAGGCTAGGAGACTGGCCTTGAAAAAGTGAAGCATTGTGGCTCTTTACTAATGGGTCTGCTGGTTTCCCGGAGTGGGATTACCCTGGAGTTGCTACTGAGGAGCCCGCTGCACAGAACTTCCTTCTCCCCTCTCCGTGCTCCCCTTGTGCTGGTAACCAGGCTGCGGTGAGACTAGTTCGCAGTGAAGGGAGCCCGAAAGACAGAAGCCACTCATCAACATTTTTATGGATTTTAATTTTTAACTTTAATTGAACTAAGATTATTCTATCCTGCTGCTTCTTAAGTAACAATAATAACCACTTGTTAGAGTGTAGATGTCTTTGGAAGATTTGGTTTTCAAAATAAACATAAACCAGTGAGTACCTACCTATGAAAGCTGACTAAACATTATTTTGATCATGTGGATAATCTCAGCTAAGTTTCAGACACTTTTTGACTTTAAACCTCCCCCAGATATAGCTTCTTTAAAAATAAGTGGAATATATATCACACACCTGTCGAAGAGTCTACTTGAGGTTGTGCACGAGAACAGGAAAGCATCTGTTTGACCAGATGAACAGATGCCATGGTCACCCTGGAGAACGAAACTCCAGATTCCAGTGTTTTGCTGCTGACCAACCCTTGCAATGCCAGGAGATGACTTTGCTATTAAATTGTTTGGGGTTTTTTTCCCCCAGTATTATTTTTTTCCTTTGATCCCTTCCCTTTCCTCTTATAAAAAGTCTTTTCTGTTTATTTCTTTTCTTTTTTTTTTTTAAGATTTTATTTATTTATTTTTAGGGAGGGAAGGGAGCGGGGGGAGAGAGAGAGAGAGAGAGAGAGACATCAATGTGCGGTTGCTGGGGGTTATGGCCTGCAACCCAGGAATGTACCCTGGCTGGGAATCGAACCTGGGACACTTTGGTTCCCAGCCCGCGCTCAATCCACTGAGCTACGCCAGCCAGGTGTTTATTTCTTTTCTTTTCCATACTCCCTTGTGCCCTTAACATGTACAGATCAGCTGTAGAAGTGAGGGCTTTTACCATCTGGGTGGTTTTCCTCATGAAATTGAATGTATGTGGTCTCTTCATTTATTTACTCACGGGTATTTCCTGGGCACCTTCAGCTCACCAGGCCATTGCGTGCTGACGTGCACCCGAACAGTGGCAGTGGAGGGAAGTGTCAAGAGGCCCAGCAGCATCACCTAATCTTATCCGGCCATGGTGCAATTTACATAAACAAATTTACACTGCACCTTTATTTCCCCTTCAGTCAAGCCCCAGGGATGTGCCAGGTCTCCTTAATGAAGTGTCATGATTGTTTTCCCATCAGGTAGAAGCATCCCAAACTCAGCAGCAGCAGAAGTCTAATGTAGAGACTCTTTGGTAACCTGCAATATGCATTTTTACTCTGTTTGTGATACAGAATTTGTGGAGCCAGGCTGAGGGCTTTAATTCTGCCTTCTTCTCGAATCCATAGCTGGTATTACTTCAGGAAGAACTTAGCGGTTTGTTGTAACCTACTCCCTTCTTTCTACTGCTTTAATCTGAGGGCTCTGCCCATCGCCCACCCCTCCTTCCCCCAGTCTCCTGGGCTGTGCGGGCTGGCTCTTTCCCCCAGGTCCTGATCTCTGGTTTGTGGGTACAGTTACATTTATAATTGAATGCATGCAACATCAGTGCTTTAGTTTTTTTCAAAGTGTTTGTATTTGGATTATATGACTGTATACAGTTAAATGCTCTTAAATCTAGTAACAGGAATAGATGTCAGATAATAAATTAGGACCTTCTGTCATCTTTACTAGGCGAAAGAATGAAAAAAATGTCATTGAAAATCAAAAATGACAACTAAGTGAGCGAGGTTACCACGCCTTCCATTTCACTGCCCTCCCAGACTATGTAAGTCTCTTTTTTTCTACCAGCATGTTGCTGAAACCTCCCCATCCCCACTGACTCCTTCTTTGACCACAACTAAACTGCTAGATTTTTTTTTAATTTCTAACTGACTTCCCACCATGGGG